CGGTCGTTGCAGGAAGGTCAAACGGACACCCCCGTCTCGGAGGAGGCTTCCCTCTGCTTCAGAAATGTCTCCCTAACCCTTCTCACCACTTGGTGGAGCAAGCAGGCTTCACCGCTCAACGTCTGACTGCAGCTTTAGGTTTTATCTTTGGGTGTTTGCACATTGTTAAGATCTCTTCAATGCAAATGTTATTTTTCTTTTTCTTTTGCATATTCATATGATTCCTAAGGTTAAAGTCAACCCAAAGGTTTTCTATGAGCCTGGTATTTTCCACATTAAAATTATTAACTACACACAGTTCCACAGCATAAAGGCATGCATGCCTTATCAAACAACAGGTTACATAGAACTTTTTGTAGTTATTGTACCTAAATATGAACATGCACACACACACACAGTCTAGCAACTGTCATCTTTTTGCAATTGTTGGCTACTAACCCCATTAAAATAAAGCTGAAAAAAGATTTATAATGCAGTTGAATAAAATCTTTTTTTTTTTTTTTTTAAATCAGAAGTACTAAAAAATTATCCTTAACATTTGACACTTTAGAGACACATAGAGACACTTTTAGGTCTCTCACAGCTTGTGACCGATGAATGATTTAAGCCAGTGGTCCTCAACCCTATTTTATCCAAGCACCCTGTGTGTCCAGGAAAACATGCTTGCCCCCCCCCCTCCCCCTCCTCTCCCCCACCGCACAGGTTATGATATTGTTTCTCTTGTATGCATCCTGCAATTATGACAAAAATTGCCAGTGTTTATTAATATGAATGCATTTTAATTTGGCTGCATTGCCAAACAATGTCATTTCTTTCGAACACGACTCAAAGGCAGCCTCTCTCCAGAGTCCTCCAACACTATATTTTTCTCAGTTAATGACATCACTTTCAAAACAGAAGGTGAATGTTTATGAACAAAAAAATCTAAATCTTAAGTCTATTTGGCAAAAGGCTCTAATGTCAGTAGCCTGACAACCATTAAATGTGCACTTAACTGAAAAGACCCTCATTTTAAGGTATTAGCCTTCAACAACATAAAACAGATATTATTTTTAAGTATCAATACGAAATGAACCGAGTAACAATGAATCCTGGCCTTTCCCCTCCGTCAGCTTCCCCCGGAGACGCCGCTAACCGAATTTAGCTTTATTATGGGAAAATTCGCTTTGATACACGAGTGCTTTGGATTACGAGCACGTTTCCGGAATGAATTATGCTCGCAATCCGAGGTTTTACTGTATCTCATTTTGAAAATACATACCGTGGTATCTAAATTATGCCCAGGCTTAGCTTTAGCATGTCGTAATTTTTTCTACGCTTTACAAACAAATCGCGTGCCCCCTCCACGAATCATCCCTGAGGCGCCCTAGTGGGCCGCAGCCCCCGCTTGGGAACTGCCGATTCGCGCCACATGGGCACAGTGGGCAGCTGAGATGTCCCAGCCAGTTAGCCCCTCCTTCCCTCAGTGGCTACAGCCAGCGGCTCCCGTTTGGGGCCCAGCGATGGGCATCTTAGCAGCGGCTGCCTGGCGCTGTGGCTCCATCGCACTGTAACGAATCGGCAGTTCTCGGATCTGCTGTCTGTTCCCGTTTTTCAAGAGGTCTAACCAACCGGTAGGGATTTTCCTTATATCCCTGATATTTAAATTTTTAAATAAAAAAAGGAACAAGTTAAGACAGAGAAAATAAGCCGTTTATCACCGCAGTAAAAATGCATTAGAGTACATCTGGAAGTCTATTCAGTCAAAACAGTGAAACTTCACAATACACTCGCCTGGATTTAGTAAAAGTGGCACGGCTACAGTAAACATTAACTGCGAGACATGGAGCCCAGTGACTTCACTGCGAGAGACAGTGAAAGAGAATTATTGGGCCTGGGGCTTGAAACAAAGGGATTATACTGTAACATACAGAACAGAAGACAGGTTTTAGTCCTTAAGAGATCCATGTCAGCGGTGGTGTGTAACCCTTTCCTACAATTGACTTGACAAAAATGTATTTAAATGATTTTAAGTACTTTAATAGCATTAAATGTATAACTCATTAATAGTAGAGATACATATCTACATGCAGGATGGTGCCTGCAGAACAGAATAATGACACTTTATCGTTCCTTACGGGGGAATTGGCAACTACACTGTCTTGCTTTTTGTGAGACACACACAGAGGTGAGAGCAAGCTTGGGGGCCACAGTGCGGGGTTGGCCAGCAAGCAGGGCCCCTGGAGCTGGGGGTTATGGGGCCCCGCCCTGAGGCCCAATCGCGGCATCAGTCTGCTGGTTCTGGGATTTGAACCGATAGCCTTCCAGTCACAAGCACAGGGTCCTAACCTGCTGAGCCACCACATCCCTCAGCTTTTTAAACTGCAATTTCTTTCAATTATATTAAAAACGACACACATTTAAAATTAAATTTTGATAAGTGAGCAAATTCTAATAACGGTATAGAAGATTATGTATGAGATTTATGTAGAAGATCAGCCCAATACTTATCAGTATTGATTTAGCCAGAATAGTCAGTATCGCTAAGCCAACAGACTGGTCGATTATCAGCTTGAAAGACGCAAGGGCGTCCTCTACGAATTTCTGGCAGCGAGAAATGTCTCCTCAAAATAAAGTCTAAGTAGATTACGCCGAAGACCAAGCTGGGGCCAGATTCCTATCACCGGTAACAACTCTTGGGGAAGAGACACCGGAAAAACCAGAGAAGCGGCTCTCAGTGGAGAACCGCAAATTACTCCGTACCGCTGTGTCAGAGAGGGCAACTCGAGTCTAACCAACACGACAGCTTCAGCAAGTTCAATATGCCTCCGGTAGCTCATCTAAGACCTCAAAGACCCTCCCCTCTTCTGCCCCGAAGACTGCTCCACGCACAAAAAGGCAGTGAAAGCCAACCCGCAGAGCGCGGAGGTGACAGCAGGGGGTGGTATTTACTTTACGTCACATCAATGGGAGCAGCCCCACTGCCAGTGTACATTAAACAAAAGCACATGTTTCATCTGCCATCAAAACCCTGCTATTTCGACCCTGTGCTTCTTCATGCTATTCCAGAGAAGTAGCAGAGAACAAAGGGCTCCAGGATCATAAAAAAGCTCATTTAAAACGTGTGATCTGCGCAGTCTGTGTCGCCGCCGGGGGCTGGGTAATCCATACGACGCTCTCCGCCGCAGTTTCCACTGCCTGACGTCTGAGCAGCAGTTCATCTGGCCTGTCGGGAGGACGATATTCCGAAAGGGTAATGACTTCCGTGTCTGGATGGCCCGTGTGCCTGGAATGTGTTCAGGATACACATTCAAATCGGGTGCCAAGCCAGACATAAACGTGGGGACCGACACCAAAGATTTGGGGCAATTCTGAAAGGGCCACAGTTATTTCCAGTGCTACTTCCAAGATTTGGGATGACACAAACATGGGACGTCAGTCGGCTTCACAAATCGATGCTAACTGACGGCATTAGTGCTTGACTTATACAAGACTTTTTCTTTTCAAGACCTTACTTCCACATCAGCACTGCCAATAATTAAAAGCGTATATACTGTACATTGGGTACGGCACTAATAAAAGTTGATGTCAATGGTACTCTGGCATCGTTTCATGGCTGATATCTAGGCCGAGGGACACATTCAGACTAATAAGGCAGCGCAATAGGATCTTTCTGGGATTTCTGTACAGACTAACATATGTAACGTAATGGAAACCTGGTGATTTCCTGCCTGTTATACTGGGGCACAGGACGTCAGAATGCATGGCCACAAATGGGATGTAGACTGCAGCTTAAAACAGGGTCTTAATCGTCCAATTCCATTCTTCTGTTCCTTTCTAATTCTCACCTAGAATGCTGGAATATTAGATATGGAAATAGTAGAAATTAAGAATAAGAAACATTCACATGATCTGAAGCCTACTGAAGCTATGAATTCACGATAATTAGTTACTGAAATGTTTGTGTTTTAACTCCGGAAGACCCTTCACTATAGGAAGATACTCAGTTACACTATTCAACCTTAATTTCAGTGGTTGGCTGACTTGGACTGACATAAGTAAACATTGACAGAGAAAAGTGAACAATTGGTGGATGGTGAATAAGCCAATTACGCAAACACGTAAACAAAAATCTCATGGGCCATTTCACTTATACTGAGACCACAGCCTAAAATATTAATGATGAAAAACACGTCATCTTTGGTGAATCCTTTATATGAATCTATGTTACTGATTGTTAAGAAGGTAGATTTCTTTGGAGAACCTTAATATAGCCGTCCCTGTTTCCGGAATGTGTTTGTGCGCGCCCACATCTCTGATTCTGGGGTGGTTTCAGGTGGCATGACTTTCCAGTGGCACGCCATTGGGTGACCCAAGTTGACCTCAGAGCACGAGACCCTGAGCAGGAATTATGCCTGCTTTGATGCCATCATCATCCGCTCGCTCAAACATTTCCACAAGATCGCTTTGAAGAAGCTTTAGCTCTGATCTTTCAAAGACAGAGTCTGTGTCAACATTCAGCAGGCCTCGTTCTTTGAAGGCCTCGTCGAGGGCGACGGGATTGTTCTTTGTGGGAAGAAAATAATATTCTGATGCATGTCATTTGCTTACAATGCAGAGAAGGCCTCAGAGAGTGCATTACACCCATTATGCTGACTAAGCATCCAGAACAATCATTCATTAAAATTCTGCTTAAAGCACTCAGTTTAAAAGTCAAAATGTTATTCAAAATATTACTAGTACCATCATCACTACTACTACTACTAATCTGTTAATGTTAATTTTTTGATGAAAAGCATAGGATGCATCGTTAAGATAATTTAACAAGGTCAACTTGGGCACCTCAATACCTGCACATTTATATAGATATTTATGGTAATGAAGGAGGTCGTAGAGGTCATGGCAGCAAAGAAAGGCTACCCAACAGAAAGGGGAAGCAGTGCGCCACCTCAGCAACCTGTGGGAGAGCAGAGAAAGAGCGGCGAGCGGTACGGAGACAAGCGGTAGGCCGGTTCCGGTACCTGGCGCAGGTTGCGAGTGACGCGGACATCATGCCAGCCGTTGTCGTTGAACTTGCCGTTGACGGGCTCCACCAGCGCCTCGAAGGCGCCCGAGCCCAGGTTGATGACGAGCCAGACGGCGCCGTTCTTCAGTGACAGGTTGACGTAGTCGGCCGACTTGCCCGTGTGCAGCATGAGCCCGTTGCGCTGCAGCGTGCGGAAGGAGAGCGTGATCTCGTCCGTGCTGCTCTGGATGGGCGTCAGTGACAGGTCGTAGCAGAAGAACTCGTTGCCTTTGAAGGTGGCCACCGATTCCTCCTTCCCTGAAAGATGATGACAGAGGGATTCAGCGAAAACATCACCTAGACCCCTATTATTCAAATCACGGTCCTCGAGGTCCGAGTCCTGCTGGTTTTCCAGCCTTCCTTTACCTGTGAGCCAGGTGTGAAGCCTCTGACCAATCAGAATCAGTAATTATTAAACTAACTACCTGGGAGAACTGAAAACACGGCCTGGATTTGGAATCGAGGTCCAGATTTGAAGAGCCCTGACCTAGACCGATTCATCCTTCCGTCTTTCCAGGTTATTTTGCCAGCAGTTAAAACACATAATGCAAACACTATCTACTGCTACCATTTCCCACAGTTTTGTGACAATTAGCAATTCCTACAGCACCATACTAAAGATGATTAAAAGCAAAATTTCACATAATCTAATTTAATAGAAACAAAACCTTTTAGCACCATCAATTAAGCAATGGGCTCTTAATAGTTTGGCTGGGTTGGTTCAATTTAATTCAATTTATTTTCACTTTCGTGGCCTTCCCAGTGTAGCTGGCCAAAAGTGTTTGCCTCATCAATCCTGCAGTTAATGTAGCGAAAATTACATTGTATTTATCAGTATGTCCATCAAAAATCTGGTGCAATGGCCCATAAAAACATCTGATATAATTCCATCTAGTCCATGACAGTGTTCGGACTACATCCTTTAGATAAAGTCGCTTTTCGTTGAAGGGGCATGGGGAAGACTTCATTCATTTTACTTGTATATCCAAAGGTGATAGCGCCAATATGATTTTCACAACTGTGGAAACCTTCTGTTATATTTACATGCCGATAACGATCCCTAACTTAGGGATTCATGGCAGAGAAGTGTATATTTCCGACGCTGGGAAATAAATCGCAGTGCAAAGAGTGCATTCATGCTTTAAAGCACATGCCGATGTCTTGGACAAAAACGAGTATCCTTGACGCAATCGGCCAAAGTCTACTTAGATGTTTCATTTGGAAACCCCAAATGCTGCACGTCCAGCCGGCTGCTCAGCAACCCCCCTGAATACGGGGCTCTCAGAAGCTTATCACGTGGCTTTGATACTGTAAGTCTCTCTCCCCATCCCAAATGAGAAACCGTCTCTACTGGGCACAGCGAACGGACCTGTATGACACAGGGATTCTCTCGGGTTACCAGAGAGATGAAACGGGAACAGGGAACCAGCGAAAGGTGGATGTATCAATAGACTAATACCGATCATCTGACCCCGCCCTACACCCCAGCACCATCTCAAGCCATGTTATAGAGAAAAAATGTGCACCAAGAAAAGATTTGGAACCAACAGACCGAAATGGACGGGAATCCAAAAAAAAAAAAAAAAAAACTGTTAAAAATGATGTATAAACAAATTAACTGAAATTAATAAGAGATGCAGATATCAGTTGTCTGCAGCCTTGACCGAACCCAATTCCAGGCAGTTATTTAACAGATTTCGGTCAAAGGCTCACCATTTCACCCAGAAGAAGGACTCAGCGTTCATTTGCAGATAATTAATTGAAAGGCAGTGAGGTCCCAGACCGTGCATTCACATCTTACTAGTCTCAAAAAAAAGTCAATCGAGAGAATTTACATCATAAAAAAAAGAGAACAGTTTTATAACAGAGAATTCAAAACTGATAGGAGAGCTGTAGTGGGGACGACGGTGACCGAAATGCCCAATAAAGCCCCATTATTGTTGCTCACAATTAGACATGCAAGGACTGTTAGCTCATGCAAATCATCATCAGGCACAGAACAAAAGATTCAGAGAAATCTCTTGTAAACAGGCTTCTTACAGTCCCTTAGCTGATGATGTCAAACACAAAGGCAGCTCGAAGAGGTCGCCACGGCAACTCTGTCGCGTGCCATTCAACATGAGTGAGTAGTTGTTGACCTTAGAGCAGCAGTCGTCCGGCAGAATGACCAACTTTCTCAACTTGCGGCAAAGTGTGCTACTGTTTTAAACGCAGGCGGCATGCAAACCAAAGACTCTCCATTGCTGTTTAAATTTCTGGTTAACCTTTGAAGTCAATGAATGGAATGACTTCTAAAATCAAGTACTGTCTGACAGGGGACAATGATGGAAGAACTCCTCCCAAGGTCAGGCAAATATTTACGGGAAATTTCACCGCAATCACCGACGTTTCTACCCTGTGAGTAAAACTATTTTGGGTTACCGAAAAGTCAAAATGGTTCTGAGGGTAATTTTACTTTTACGATTATTGGACACCTTTGTCCAGAGCAATGTGATGCAAAAGGCAGATGATAAGCATCCAGCTGCTGAGGACTCAATTTGGGCTCAGAAAAGCTATAGTACCGAGATGGATACCACCAAGAAGGATCTAGTGCAACTAATGCAAGAACAGAGCATCCATTAGTGCCAAGTAAAACCATTTCAACAGAGCAATCAATAAAGGGAGTCAGTGAGGATCAGCGTCAGGATGAGGTTAGGGTTAGGTTTAGGGTTAGAGTCGGCGAAGATTAGTGTCAGGATGAGGTTAGGGTTAGGGTTAGGTTTAGGGTTAGAGTCGGCGAAGATTAGTGTCAGGATGAGGTTGGTTGATGTGCTCCTGGATAAATTGGGTCTCTAAATGTTTCTTGGAAGTTGTGAGGGATTCTGTAGACCAGAGATACTGTCTCCTTCCTCTGTCTACTGATGGGGTGCTTCGTTACAGCTAAAGCAACATTTCCATATGTTTGCGTAAAGGAGTCTCTAGCCTGCGTTTGCTTTTTCAGGGCCTGTTTTGGCGGAAGCCTGTGGGAAACATCTGAAGGAAGCCTCACTGTTTTTCACAGTAATAACATCTGCCAATGCATGACATGCGACTGTAAAATCCAGCCACTTCACGCACACACAAACAAAAATATAAACCGCTTCTCTTGCTGTGCACCGTAAAACCGCTAAATCTATTTCCTTACCAGATAAATTATGTTTGTAGGATTTTAATTTCCGTTTTTTTATTTTATTTTGTAAATATCACAGATGCCTGCTACTGAGCTTCCATTACCGATGTTTCCGACAGTAGCGTGTTAATATTAAAGCGCACAGCCTCACAAATCTATTTAATTTAAGAGAACAATTCACACCTTCTGCCCCTGAAGCCCCCCCCCCCCACCGTGTATTTTCAATTCAGGGGTTTTATAATGAAATCCTCAGCATTTTTACTACATGCAGGACTCTGTATCTATGGTCTGGAAAACCTGTATTCGTCATACCCAAGGTCTGTAACTGATTACGCACAGCAGAGCACAGAAATCAGAAACTGGACAGGTAAAAATGAATAACTTTTTTTTTTTTTTCGGTGAAAGATAAAAGCCTTTTTTTCCCCCCTCAAGTATCACTCCCAAATTTCACGAGAATGTGTCTGCAGCTCAGCCAGAGAAGAAAACCCAAGACAAAAGCGTGAAAAGTCTTTGTGTGAAGCTGACATCAGATTCTCTTTCACTGAAGCTTCTCACTGCGAAATAATTATTGTAAATTACGGCAATTAAAAGAGGTACTTTTCTAAACAGGTCACATTGTACTGATTTAATCTATGGTGATGTAATGATAAAATATACATGCACACAGTCGCTGGTCCTTGAAGCCTCTGTGCATGATGACTTTTGATTATTGCAATAAAATGTATTATAACCAGTAATACACTAATGTACAGGTTTACGCATTTATTGTCTCACCGACGTAAAGACTTGAGCACACGACCTTCTGGTTACACATTCGGCCCTTTAACTGCTCAGCCCCCTAGAGGGCAAGCGTTGAAATAGCAGTTATGGGACTTACCAGCATCCACTAAATTGAGTCAGTTACCATTTTCATTCCACTTACTCAAGACAGGAAAAAATTAATAAATAAACGTGTCTTCAGACCCATTAAACGAGCCCTGAGAATAAGTCTGGCATTACGAGGAGTGGCAAGGAATCGCAGTGCGCAGCGAGGGTCTGAATATTGATATTCCCCATGTCGGCCCTCAGGCTAATCATGTACCATGAGGTCCATCTTTTAGCTTGATAAACAGCTGTGAATTAAGCTTCGAAGAAAACACTTTCAGGAGAATGCTCCAGCCTCCCCCCTTCCCAAACCCCCCAGCACAATTTAATTTAAATGAAATCCAAACTGTAAAAACAGACGCTGAATGAGCTGGAACCGAAGAGACTTAAGGCGAAGGAAATGAAAAAACACGGCTCTCCACAGCAGAACAGAGGGAACACGGCTCTCCACAGCAGAACAGAGGGAACATGGCTCTCCACAGCAGAACAGAGGGAACACGGCTCTCCACAGCAGAACAGAGGGACGCTTGCACTGCTGTGTGTCTGCTCTCTGCAGACCAGAACAATCCACCATTCATACTGGATTTCAGGTGTAGTGTGGGTTCTATTTCATGGATTATCAGCACAGTTGGCTTGTCCACCTCCCAATAGATCTGTTCAACAACCAATCAAACCTGCAGTTAATCAATCTATAGATCAATTTAGACTGATGCTGGGGGGGGGGGTACTTCTTTGCTCCATCTTGGTTTCAGTCACATGGCTAGTTTGCCTTGGCATTTGGGCTCTGTCCTGGCATTCGGATGGGTTTCCTGGTTCTGATAGATTGGTGTGGTCTGCTCTGTCCTGGCTTTCGGATGGGTTTCCTGGTTCTGATANTTCGGATGGGTTTCCTGGTTCTGATAGATTGGTGTGGTCTGCTCTGTCCTGGCTTTCGGATGGGTTTCCTGGTTCTGATACTGTAGATTGGTGTGGTCTGCTCTGTCCTGGCATTCGGATGGGTTTCCTGGTTCTGATAGATTGGTGTGGTCTGCTCTGTCCTGGCTTTTGGATGGGTTTCTTGGTTCTGATGGATTGGTTCGGTCTGCTCGGTCCTGGATTCTGTGTGCTGCCTGCCTAACCTCACTCTGATCTAGGATCCAGTCCACGGTTACCGTTGTTTAACCCGACATGTAAGTCCGGCCCGGTCGACTGCGCGCTGTGTACCTCGGGTCAGTGATTTCCAGTCCTGCTGGCCCAGACCACTCCC